CTGTTGATCTTTGTGAACTCCTAAAAACATTCTCTTAATCACTGTTCAGTGAGGTAACAGTAAATTCCTTTTGTTGGGCTTCATAGCAAAGAGCTCATAGAGTACCACCTCAACCAGAGGTGTTGATGTCGGTTTGTGATATACCACAAAGCCAAGCTCACTATCACATCAGGGTTCACAGCATTTTATCTTCATATCATCAGTGGGGGCACTGATGAACCCTCACTGTTAATGATATCATAAGAATCCCTTAGTTCCAAGAAGACACAGTAAGGCTTAGTGTCAAAATTGCTGGGAACCTCTTCTTTAGAATTTATCTCGCAGAAATAGGGAGGTCCTATAATTTGATATAATCTTTCAAATTGAAACCCAATCTAAAGTACTTTAGAGTATGTTTCAAAATTGTCTTCACGTTGGAACTACTCAATTGTATTTGAAGTGTAATGCACTAAAACACTATAAATACGAGGGATTTAGAACACTACTGTCCCCAGGCAGCGGGAGGTGCACACAGGTGTTACTCATCCATTGGCTGGAAGACTCAGTGGCTGACATTATGGTAGTACTGTGTGTACAGTACTATTTTTTAAGCCCGCCATTTGCAATTGATTACATGGACCATCTGTAACCGCCTGTGAATCATATTGGAGTTGGCCCATTGACATTTACCGAACATTTGTCATGCAGCAAAGTGTTTAGTGTAGAAAAGTTGACACATAACAGCTGTGAGGCCTCACTAAATCAACTTTAGACAGCAGACTGCAGGTACAATCCACTGCTGTACGGTCTCCAAAGCCGGTGGTTTACGATTTGCTTAAAGAGAAGGACCCTGCCTCACCCCCAGCTCCCCGTCCCTGCAGACAAGGCAAAAAGGCCAGTCGCGACCGCCGGGAGCCCCGGCCCCGCCAGCTGTCCCCGACGACTCCCGGGCTCAAGAGCGGCGAGGAGGCGGCGCGACCCGTCTAACGGGAAGCAAGGCGGTCCCCGCCGAGACGGCGGCGCGCGGAGGCTTCGGCCGAGCCGGGGCCGCCCGCCCAGGACGCGTCGGTCCGCGCCACCTGTCACCCGGGAGAGCCGCGGGCGGCGGCGGGGAGGAGGGCGGGCCCGGAAGCGGGCTGCGGGCGGCAGGGCTCTGCCCCGGAGGCGCCGAGGGAGGGCGGGAGAGGCAGGGCGCGCGAGACCCTCAGCGAGACTTCACGTGGCCTGCGGGACCCCGCTAGGGAACCAGGGGGCGCTAGCGCGCCCCTCCCCTGCCCCTCTCAGCCCCTCCTCCAGACACGTGACGGCGGCCGCTGGCAGCGCCGCTCCCGCAGCGTCGCTCGCTCTGTTGCTTCCCTCCCGCCGCTGCGCCCTTCTTCTCCCCCGTTCCCCTCCCTCCGCCCTCCCCCACCTCCTCCCCACGCCCCAATCGCCGCTTGAGCTTGGGAGTGCCCGCCCCTCCGCCCTTTTCTTCGCATGCTCATTGGCTGAAGTCTCAAGGACGCGTCCCGAGGGCGGGCGGCAGCCATTGGTGGGATGAGCAATCCGAGTTCCCGGATGAGGGAACATTCTGCAGTATAAAGGGAGCGGGGAAGGCGGGAGACAGCGCAGTTTGAATCGCGGTGCGGCGAAGGAGTAGGCGGTGGGTCTCGCCGTGCGTCTGATTAGCCCTTTCTCCGCCGTGCTTGTTTGAGCTGCAGCTGAATTCGAAATGGTAAACTTCGCAGAGGCGCTCGAAGACTCCGCGGCTTTCTGCCGGCGGAGAAAGCCCGTCACACACGGGGACGGGGCGAAGGGGCGACGGTTGGGAACGCGCAGGGACGGCGTTTGGAGGAGCGGGGGGCGGGGAAGGTGTTGTGTCGGCTGCGAGCGGAGCAGCCTCCGATCCGCGGCGGGCGGCGACGGTTGGGCGCGCGCGACGCCGCGGCGGCGGCGGGCGGGCGGCTGGCGGGGCGCGCGGCCGCGGCGGAGCGCGGGGCGGGGGCGGGCGGTCGCCCTGCGGCGCGCGGCGGCCGGGAACCCGGCGGGCGCGGGGCCGCGCTCGCGCCCGGACGGCGGGGGAGGGGCGGCCGCCCTGGTAATTCTATATTCCGCGTTCCTCCTCCGCTCCGGCGTGTGCGCGCCGCAGGCTGGCGGCAAGGCTGGGAAGGACTCCGGAAAGGCCAAGACAAAGGCGGTTTCCCGCTCGCAGAGGGCCGGCTTGCAGGTCAGTAGTGGCTCGTGCAGCCCGGCGGTCGTGGCGTCGTCCCCGCGCCCCCTCTCGTGTACGGTCTCCCGATGGCGTCTCGTCGTGGCGCGCGCGACGCGCTGTCGCGACTCGGGCGGCCGATACGATAGGCACGGGGGCCGCGATCGCGCGAGCCGGACCGGGCGCGTCGCTGCGCCGGCGTCCGTGCCCTCGGCGTGGCGCGCGTGCAGTTCCGTCCCTGACCCTCGTATCTTTGTGCATTTGTGTCTGTGTGTGCTTGCGGTTAAGTTCCCGGTGGGCCGCATTCATCGACACCTGAAATCCAGGACGACCAGCCACGGCCGTGTGGGCGCGACCGCCGCCGTGTACAGCGCAGCCATCCTGGAGTACCTCACCGCAGAGGTAAGCCGTGGACGTCTGTAATCTGGGGGGCGGGGAGGCGGCGCGGCGACGGAGGAAAGTGATGCAAGAAAACTCCCAGGCCCCGGTCGCGGCGGGCAGCCGCAGGGACCGCTAGAGGGAGCTGGTGTTCAGCAGGGAGCCTGCGGGGTTGAGTTTGTAGCTCTTGGAAATAGAATTGCACGCCCCTGTGTAGCTTTGTGTATCTTGTCATTTGGGTGGTGAGGGGTGACGACAGTTATTACATTCATGAAAATTTGATTCTGCTCTCTGGATCTTGGTCGAAGGAAAGTTGAAAGGAGATTGATTAGATTCTGCCTTCTAGGTACTGGAATTGGCAGGAAATGCATCAAAAGACTTAAAGGTAAAGCGTATTACCCCTCGTCATTTGCAACTTGCTATTCGTGGAGATGAAGAATTGGACTCTCTTATCAAGGCTACAATTGCTGGTGGTGGTATGTAACCACTAAAATTGTATTTGAAATTCCTTTAAAGAGTTCGTTGCTGCTGCAATTTCCGTTAGTGGTTTTTAGTCTAGAGGAGGACATTTAAGTATATTTTCATTGATGCAGTATATCATGAAATTTGATTAGTCTGTAACTCAGTTTGTCATGCTTGGAGCCTCACGGTTTTAAAGATAGCTTCCAAGTTGAACAGTGTAACTGCCTTGGTTTCAAGTACTGTATGATTTTTAAAATATGTATCTTAAGTAGAATTAATCCCTGTTACTTTCCTAGGTGTCATTCCACACATCCACAAGTCTCTGATTGGGAAGAAAGGACAACAGAAGACTGTCTAAAGGATGCCTGGATCCCTTATTATCTCAGGACTCTAAATACTCTAACAGCTGTCCAGTGTTGGTGATTCCAGTGGACTGTATCTCTGTGAAAAACACAATTTTGCCTTTTTGTAATTCTATTTGAGCAAGTTGGAAGTTTAATTAGCTTTCCAACCAACCAAATTTCTGCATTCAAGTCTTAACCATATTTAAGTGTTACTGTGGCTTCAAAGAAGCTATTGATTCTGAAGTAGTGGGTTTTGATTGAGTTGACTGTTTTTAAAAAACTGTTTGGATTTTAATTGTGATGCAGAAGTTATAGTAACAAACATTTGGTTTTGTACAGACATTATTTCCACTCTGGTGGATAAGCTCAATAAAGGTCATATCCCAAACTAGTTGTGTTTTAAATTTGCTTGATCACAATACAAACTTGTGTCTTTCGACTACCATCCAGCAATAACTAAGCAAAATTTTTTCCTGTGAAATAAATCGATAATCTGTAGATCAACAAAGTCTGATAGCCCAAATGTTTAACTTTTTAAATGTTATTTAATGAGCTATTAAAGGTTTTTAAGCTTTGGTGGGAGTTGGAGTGGGATTGTTACTGTTTCTGAGGCTGTTTGACCATCTCAGCTCCGTATACTGGTGCTTGCCGTGTGGCAGGGCCACACCAGTCCACTTCCTGTGGTGGACTGGGGGGAGAGGGCAGGTGGGGATGCCCTATATATAGCTGCCTCCACGGAATGAACTTTCACTTTAAACTTTGAGGATACTGGGGCTATATGCCAAGCATGACTTTGAAGTCTGAAATTGTCAAATACTCTTAAGTATGTTAACGTTTTTGGGGATATATTAAACCCATTTTATGAAAGAATCAGGATTTCTTTCTAAGTAGTGAGTTGTTAGCATGGCTAAGAATAGCTTGGCTCACTCAGTGTTATATAAAAATTGATAATCTCGTGGTTGGGTTGAGCAGATCATTTTGACGCTTGGTTTCTGGTAAGTTTTTAAACTGCAAATTTGGATGTAGACATTACCAAACATACACTGACCCATTTCCCCCCACTGAGGAGACTCACGTGACATGGCACTTCCCAAAGGTAATGTTACAAAAATGGAAAAAGGAGAAATCAGGAGTTTAGTTTTGTGGCTAATGCACTGAAGGGGCTGGTTTCCCGCCCGGTTTTAGCCATACACGATTACAGGGAATAACTGCAAACCACAAATTAAACTCCTTTTTACCTTTTCTTGGATAGCCTGAGATAAATGGGTCAGCGAAATGTGGAGCTGAAATAAGGCAGTAAAACAAGGCCGGGTGGGAGGCAGGAAGGCGCCGGTGTCCGGAAGCGCGGAGTTGGGGCTGACCCCGGCCTCGCCTGGCCGGGTCCCGCGACGGCGGGCCAGGGGCGGGGCGTCGGCGCTCTGGGAATTTTGCTGGGACAAGTGTCCCCTCCGCTGTCCGTTCGCTCTGGCCCGTCCGCGCGGGTCGCCCGGGTTCCAGCCTCGCCCGGGGCCCTGCCCGCGCCGCCGAGCGCCCGCCGTGCGGCGGGCGGGTGGGCGCCGCCGGGGACGGGGCCGGCCGGGCCGGGCCGGAGGGACGCGGCTCGCGCAGGCCGCCGCGGGGCGGGAGCGCCGTAGGAGGCGGAGCCGAGGCGGCCCGCCGCCGCGGTCCCTGCGCTCTCCCGCCGCCGCCGCCGCCGCACGCCCCGCCGGCCGGCCTCTCCTGTCCGCGGCGGCGGCTTCCGCCCGCGTCGCTGCGCAACCGGAGGAAACGGAAGAAGGCGCAGGCCATGGAGGGGAACCGGGATGAGGCGGAGAAATGTGTGGAGATCGCCCGGGAGGCGCTGAACGCCGGCGACCGCGAGAAGGCCCAGCGCTTCCTGCAGAAGGCCGAGAAGCTCTACCCGCTGCCCGCGGCCCGCGGTGAGACCCGGCGCCCCTGCCCGCCTGCCCGGCCGCGCCGCGGCCGCCCGCCCACCTCCGCCCGGGCCGTGCCGCCCGGCCCGGCCCGGCCCGACACACCCCCGCCGCGGCTCGCACGGGCGCCGCCACTCACGCGCTGCCCCCGGCTCCCGGCATTTTCATAGACGTCCAGCTCGCGTTCTCCCGGGAGGGGACCCGTCTGGTCCCGTTCTCCACAGTGGGGCTTGATATCTGGGGGTCTGGTTATGTGGCCTCCCTTCCTTCCCAGCCTCGCCCCCGGAGGAGGCCTAGGCCGCTCGGGAAGTGAGAGGAACGGGGAACCCACTCCAGTGGCTAATCTCAGGTCCCACCATCTCTGGGCTGGGTAGAAAACTGTCCCCAAAGCAAACACCTTCCAATACCTGCGATGACATTGCTTTTCCTTGGGAGACAAGCGGGGAACAGGAATGATCAAGAGTCAGTAATGATTTGCTGAATAGTATCTGATTTGGAAACATCATAATTGTCGACAAATTAAGCAAATCTCTAAAGAATAGGGTATTGGACTTACTTTAGTTGAATTCACCTTGTTTATTGTGCAGTTCTCTAGGCTTCAAAGTAAAAATAGCTAACATTTATTGACCAGTTACACAGTGCCAAGAGTTGTATGTAGAGGCACAGAATTCTTTTGACCTGGTTTACGTAAACCATGTGGAAATACATGAATGAATGAATGAATCAGTGAATGAATTGTGAATGAATGAAAATATCTTATCCAGGGTCGCACAACAATTAGTGGAAAAGTCAGAACAGTAGCTGAGCTTTGAGACTCCAAAAGACCTTTAACTGCTATACTCTACTGCCTTGCCAATAGGATACTGTTGCGCTTATTTTCAGGTTAAGAAGAAAATATTGATAAATTAATAAAAATGTGGGGCTACCTGTTTTATTTTGTTAATTTTTCTTTTCTTCATTGTTGAAGCTCTTGTGTCCTTTGCTTTTCTCTCTGTCCTTTTTATTACATTGCCCTGGAACACTGTACTACAGAGGACAGGAAAAAGAAGGCAAAGGAGAGAAAGGAATTAATAAATTTTTTAAAATTGTGGTAAGAAACACATAAAAATTACCATCTTAACCATTTTTAACTGTACAGTTCAGTAGTGTTAAGTATATTCACGTTGTACAAGGTATTGTCAGAACTTTTCATTTACCGTGCCAATTAAATAGCTCCCTGTTTCCCCATCCCCCCAGCCACTATTCTGCTTTTTATTTCTATGAATTTGACTACTTTACATATTTTATATAAGTGGAGTCATATAGTATTTTGTCTTTTTGTGACTGGCTTATTTCACTTAGCATAATGTTCTCAAGTTTCATCCATGCATGTGACAGGATTTCCTTTTTTGCAAATGCTGAATAATATTCCATGGCCCCCACATTTTGTTTATCCACTCATCTGTTGATGGACATTTGGGTTCCTTCCACCTTTTGGCTAGTACAAATAATGCTGCTATGAACACAGGTATACAAAGATCCTGCTTTCAATTTTTTTAGATACCCAGAAGTGGGATTGCTGGATCATATGGTAATTCTGTATTTAATTTTTGAGAAACCACAGTACTGCTTTCCATAGCACCATTTTACATTCACAGGAAAAGTACATGAGGGATGCAGTTTCTTTGCCAACACTTATTTTCTGGTTTTTGTTTGTTTTGTTAGTAGCCGTCCTAGTGGGTAGCAGGTGATATCTCATTGTGGTTTTGATTTGCATCTCTCTGATGATTAGTGATGTTGAGCATCTTTTCATATGCTTATTGATCAGTTATATATTATCTTTGGAGAAATGTCTATTCAAGTCTTTTGCCCATTTTTTAAATCAGGTTTTTGTTTTTTCTTGTTGAGTTGTAGGAATTATTTGTGTATTCTGGGTATTAATCCCTTATCAAATGTATGATTTGCAAATATTTTCTCCCATTCTATATATAGGTTACCTTTTTACTCGATTATATCATTTGATGCACAGAAATTTTAAGTTTGTTGTAGTGCCGTTTGTCCACTTTTGCTTTATTGCCTATGCTTTTGCTGTCATATCCAAGAAATCATTACCAGGAATTAATTATTTTTTATTCCCCTCTCCCTTACTGTATGAATATATGATTTCATCTGGTCATTATCTAGTCCTAGAGGGACAGTATTAACATTAAGTTAGTAGGCAGTCTATACAGAATAACTTGGCTTTTGAAGCCTGACTCTTCACCTGCTAGCTTGTAACTGTATTCCTGGGCAAGGTAGAGAACCTCTCTAGCTTTTGGCTTTTTCATCTGTAAAATGGGGACAGTGTACTGATCTCACAGTGCTGTTGTGAGGATTAAATGGGTTAATACAGGTAGTTAGTACAGTAAGTACTATGAATGTTAGTACAGTTAAGTACTCAATTAATTTTGGTGATATTATGAGAACCTAAGAATTCTTAAAACCTGCCCAAATGTGCACAGTCTGTCATGCAAACAACTTGAATCCTTCTACCAAAGGACACGGTAAAACATCAAAGCACAACACAGTTGTTGCTCTTAAAGACATGAAATGTAGGAAAAATTAAGAAATATAAGAGTAAGAGTTGGTAGTACAAATGTAAGGCAGTATGTGACTACCAGCCGCAGTGTAAAAACTTCACGGGTAGACTGTCTTTGACACCTTTTTAAGGAGGGATAGATTACTTCTCTAAGCCTTTTTGTGTTATATGTAAAATAAAGATGTCATCACATGGTTGATGTGAGTTGAATTAAAGGTACGTGCAATTATTTAGGAAAATATATTTTACATAGAACATTCTCAGATGCTTATTGGTATAATTTATGAATTCATGAGAGGGTAAGGTCTAAAACATTTGTGTAAGATTCTGATAACAGATTTCATGTAGAAGGAAATTGAAGCTATTGGTTACAAATGAGATTTTTAAATTTTATCGTTGAATTTCACATATTCTAGTGAACACCAAACCCTTATAACTTAAGAAGTTGACTGAATGTTCTTCTGGATGTGCTTATACTAAAAGGCCAAAAGAAAATATTGCATTTAATTTCCATTATTCTTATATAGTGAATGGAAAACTGTGAACTGAATTTTAGCTAAATTCCATGATTTTTGTCCTCTTAAAATTTTATTTTTGGCAAGTAAAAAGTCTGATATATATAATAGTTTAATAAATTGGTAAGAGTTTTCCTTGAGGAAAATCTTGATCTCCAAATGGATCTACATTATTGTTGCTTTCCATGTTTTTAGTTGAGAATATTTTTTTACACTTATTGCAGTGAATTGAATTGTACAACTTTCAAATATTTTATGAGTTTACATTTGAAAGTATTGATATATGAATAGCTACCACAGGAAATTTAAAAATTTTGGAAAAATAATGTCAGTGAGTAGAACTAAATTACACGTTAGTTTCTTAAACTGTACATTTATTGAATTATTGATTTGTTTTCGATTTTCAGAGAGGGATACAACCTCACTGTTTAATGCTTTATGTTACTATTTTAATACTTTAGTGTTTCATAGTAATTGGAGGACAGTTTGAAGTGTACATTTTTTTTAGAGGAAAGCATTTTTATTGTTTTTAAGAACATCATAGTAATTTGGATCAAATGGTGACCTACAGCTTCAAAAAAGGGCATCTTATCTACTTTAATGAATGGATACGTATAATGAATGGATAATGTATAATTTGCAGCATCTATCTGCACAATAGCAATTAAAATAGTCCTCTTTTTATTATTTTTCCCTTGTGTGCGAGAGATTTTTCTTTTTTTGCTACATTATTTTAAAATTTATATTCTATAAAAAGTTCAAAGTTCTGTCCCCCTTTTTAAACTGTCATTATACATCTGGAGTATTATCCAATATATTCCTTTTAGGATAATTCCATTTTTTTCTGTTTTGACTTGATTAAAATTTAGTGATGAGTACATATTATACACTCAAAACAAACAATGATTTCTTTCTCTTTTTTTGAGGTAGAGTCTCACTCTGTTGCCTGGGCTAGAGTATGATGGCATCCGCCTAGCTCACAGCAACCTCAAACTCCTGGGCTCAAGCGATCCTCCTGCATCAGCCTCCCAACTAGCTGGGGCAGGACTACAGGCATACGCCACCACACCCAGCTAATTTTTTCTATTTTTTTTAGTAGAGACTGGATCTTGCTCTTGCTCAGACAAGTCTCAAACTCCTTAGTTTAAGGGAGCCTCTTGCCTCGGCCTCCCAGAGTGCTAGGATTACAGGCATGAGCCATCGTGCCTGGCCAAGACAATTATTTCTTAAAAGAGCCAAGTTAAGTGTTACAAAATGATTTCTAAATTTCAGCTAGTATCCAAACTAATAATACTAGGTATTACGGTTGAAAGAATACTAAATTTGGGTTTTAAACTTAATTTAACAGTAGAATGACCTTCGGTACATGGCTTAATCTTTCTGAGCCTCAATTTTCTCATCTATATAATAGGGGGTTATTTATTCAACAAATTTTTACTGAGTGTTTCTCTGTGCAGACAGTATTCTAGGAACCAGGGATTGAGTGGATAATAAGTCAGTGTACTTGTCCTCATGGAACTTCCATTCTAGAGGAAATAGGAAGTATCTAGTGGATATATAATAATGCTTCAGTTCCTGTCATTGCCTCTTCTTTTCCTAGGCCACAGTTTCCTCATGTGTAATCTTCATAGGATTATTGTGAGAATATTTTATTATCTTAAGTACTATAAGAATGTCATGTATTATTACTATGGCAAACAAAACTTGCATAGTGTGTTGGAATAGATGAGTAGATGGTATAGTATTTGTAGATTGTATAATATTTGTCTCATGTGTCATTTTGTTTTGTTTTGTTTTGTTTTTTGAGACGGGGTCACTCTGTTGCCCAGGCTAGAGTGCACTGGCATCATCAAAGCTCACTGCAACCTCAAACGCCCTGTGTTAAGCCATCCTTCTGCCTCAGCCTCCCAAGTAGCTGGGACTGCAGGCGCATG